ATTATCCACCCATATTATCCATTAAAAATGGGTTGGATAATGAACTTTTTAAAAACGGATAAAATATGGATAAGAATTATATTTTTCACTTAGAAAATGTATAATCAATGGATAACTAATGCGTTTAACTTTTACATTTATAAAGTCTCAAATTAGGGGTTTCTCAAGTTTCGGAGACTGAGAATTCTCCCAAAAGTGATCATATTCAAGAAGCCATGAATAATATAAATATCGGCTAAATAATTTATCTATTTTTGTATTATTCATTTTTTATCCACTCATATTCGACCCGACCTGATCCGACCCAACCCGACCCGGCCCGCCCGTTTGGCAGCCTTACAGTTACATATTTTTGAAAGATTCATACAAGGTAAACTGATTTCGCACAAGTATAGCATGATGAGCCCAATTTAGAGTAGCTCCGGATGAAAGGGGAATATGGGTATTAAAAAAAGGAATTTCTCAAGGCTTTACTAGAGGGCTAAAATGGGGGTATTTGCATCTATACCTGTTTTTTGTGTCACATTTTAACTTGTGACCGCTTTGCAAAAAAAATTACAAGTATACCCACTTTTTTGCATAACTTCAGCATACGGGGCTGAAGTAATAAAAGCAATCACGCAAAACTTCAGAATTCTAGTAGACGGGCCTGAAGTACCAAGTGTGCTGAAGTTTTTGTTTTATAACTGGCGAACTTCAGCTCTAGAGCTGAAGTTTTTATTTTTGTAACTGGCGAGCTGAAGTTTTTGTTTTGTAACTGGCGAACTTCAGATCTAGAGCTGAAGTTATTTAGTTAATCTAGATACTAATAACTCCTTTGATTATCCTTCGTGTTGATGAGTATTGTCTTCTCCGGATTGTGCCGTGTCTTCTCATGTGAGAAATAAGCTCCTTTTGTTCCATCTGTTTCGCTAAGTTAGGACTCATATTCTGTGAAAAATATGAATATTGGTATTTTTAATTTACATTTAAATGTCAAGTTTATGTTGTTCCATTTAGAAGGATATCCAGTTGTAATGGATCCAATATATCTTTTACTTAGCTGAGATTCTCCTGTATATAATTCGAGAGAGTTGCAAAGCAAGGAGGGGGATAAAGGGGGCTGAAGTTATTTAAAAAGTGGGTACAAGTTAAAAGTTTTTTTAAAAACTGGGTATAGGTTAAATGGGGGCGATCAAATAGGGCGCCCCGTGTAATTTTTACGCTGAAATGCTCCATATTAAGAGCCCGTTTGGACATTAAAAAAATTCTTTTTTCCAAAAAAAATTTACTTTTTTTCAAAATCAGCGTTTGTTCATAAAATTTCTAATTTTCACTTGAAGATGCATTTTGAAAATTTTCGAAAATTTGAAAAACTTTAAAAAGCTGTTTTTCAAAATTTTCACTCAGATCAGTCACAAACTTCAAAAACAACCCAAACTTAAATTTATGTCCAAACATGTAACAGCCCAGCCCGCTAGTGATATTGTCCGCTCTGGGCCCTAGGCCCTCACGGGTTTAAAATGCGTCACTAGGGTCTAAGGCTTGTTACCTTATATACCCAGCATCCCTCTTGTGTTTTGCCGATGTAGGACTATGTCTAAAGCCTGGGGTGTTACATATACCCCTCTTATGGACTCAGCGTCTTCGCTGAAGTTTGCCCCATCGCATGGGATTTGCCTAGGCTCAGCACTGAGGTTTGCCCCGCCTAACCGGGATTTGCCTAAACTCAGTTGAACTCTGACCCACCATCGGCAACGCTGATACAAGAGTGGATCTGATACCATCTGTAACAGCCCAGCCCGCTAGTGATATTGTCCGCTCTGTGTCTTAGGCCCTCACGGGTTTAAAACGCGTCACTAGGGTCTAAGGCTTGTTAACTTATATACCCAGCATCCCTCTTATGTTTTGCCGATGTAGGACTCTGTCTAGAGCCTGGGGTGTTACAAAACACAACTTCAAATTTCAAATACCATTTTTACTTTAAAAACAAAAAAAATCAACCATTTTTTGGAATGTTACAATTATTATGTCCAAACGCCTACTAAGAAATTCTTCATTCCGGTGACTCAAAAAAATCAAAAGAATTATCTTCCAAAAAAAGAGTAACTTTATTTCTTCAAACATTATCTTTTTCAAAATCCGTGTGTTAGTTTTTTTGCCACAAAAGTGACAATTAAAGATTTTTTTCATTAAATTTATCTCTTTATTTCTTCTTTTTTAATTATTAGATTTTTCCAAAAATTCAATCCGTTTGTTTATGCTTGTAAGTTTCTTGGGACTTCTCATACAGAAGTCAGACTTGCGAGCTGTAAAGCACACGCAAGCGTGCATTAGTATATGTTACAATAGAGTTTTCGTAGAAATTTCATTCACACAAAACCCTGAATTTTCTTTTAGTGTCAATATCAACAATTCTGTGTCCTAAATCTTAATCTAAAAGAGTCAAGATCCTTCTTTTACGTAATGGAGTAATTAGTCACGGAATTACAAGTGTTTATACATTTGAGTAAATCATGATATTGACTGATGATAACAGATGCAGTACAGTGAATACGTAAAAGAATTTTAAGAGAAAGTACTAGAATTTAGCCATATATAGTCTCGAAATATAACGTGAGATGCTTTATTTCTGTTAGTTTTTGAGAATGTTTAGTCCTTTTAATATTTATGGGTTAGTCTTTTGTCGTCAATCAGGATTAATAATTATCCTTATTTTACGTAATGGTACCTTTGTTTTTCTTCTATTTACATCAAACAGCAAACAGTATGCATACATTTTAATTTTCAAGTCTGTACTAACCCAAGCAACCTCGTGTTTAAGGAAATCTGTACTAATAAACTATTAGCAGACCATTTTTGAAATACTCATCCCACTGGAATGTTCCTATACGAATAATTAATTATTAATCCTGATTGAATCTTTTACAAGCACATAGATTTGGTCCTTACTGTAAAATGTTACAGTTTCTATAGTTATCTAGAAATAGAAGATAAAATGTTTCGACTAAAAAATAAAAATAATAATACAAAAAGAGGAGATAAATGAGAGGCAAATCGCAGTATCACGAATTGAAGAAAGAAAGGATATGGTCCTGATATTTTTATTTTTTTTCCACTGTGTAATATTCATACCAAAATATTAGGATAGAGATCCATCAGTGTTGACTACAATGTATAAAAAAGGAAAAGAACTGTTTCCAAATCACAATACTGAATTTGCAGGTCTTCTTTAGACATTGAGAAATTTGACACTCAAGGAATGAAGAAATTCAGATAGATGGCACTGTATTGTGTCCTCGAATTGTCACAATCAGATGCAGAAATTAAAGAAAAGTGAAGATAAGAATGAGCAAGAGTATAATACAAGGAAGTTAAAAATCTTAATCTTGCTGTCTTAATTTATTTAAAGTAGTTTGGTATCTGTTTTGGACTATTTTGTATCTGATGTCAACTTGATCAAGTAATCTTGAGTTTTGAGAAATCATAAACTACAAATTTGACAAGTATTTTTTTAGCAAGATATGGAATTATGCCTACATGTAGTTGTTTTATACATCTCTATAGTCATATGCTTGATTAATGAATATTCATGCACTGAGTTTCTTTAGTAGTGTTTAAACTATTAGAGATACAATAGATACCTACGCCCAAATGGCAATTACTTTCAAGTAGAAACTAATAGCATGTTTGGCCAGCAAAAATCAACTTATTTTATTAAGTACTTTTTCTCAAAAGTGATTTTCTCTTAAGTACTTTTGGTGAGAAGCAGTTTGTGTTTGGCTAATTAATTTAAAAAACACTTCTGAGCAGCAATTAATGTTTGGCCAAGCTTTTAAAAACTACTTCTAAGTGTATTTTTCTCAAAAGTGCTTTTCAAAAAAATCTTTTTGGAGAAAAACTAATTTTTTCTGCTTCTCCAAACTACTTCTGCTTCTTCTCAAAAGCACTTTTTTTTTCTTCCAAAAGCTTGGCCAAACACGTCAACTTTGAAAAAAAAGTATTCTAGGATTAGAGAAGCTTGGCCAAACATGCTATAAGAAAATCTTTAAAATTTGCCATTGAAGTAGACTCGGGGGCGGCCCTTCCATAAAGCAAGTAAAGCAACTGCTTTAGGCCCCACATTTGTGGAGGCCCCATTTTTTGTTACACCTAATAGGTTATGTATAAGTTTAAAAAAATTATAAAGTGAAAAAATTTGATTTCTTGAAGAAGGATATGAAACTGCTATGATTTCCGCCAACGAAATTGCACTTGAAATGAATATCAAACCCGAATTTTCTAACAAACGTGTGATATATAGGAAGTGAGAATTTGATGAGAATGTTGATAATGAAATCTCAATATCTTTCGAAGAGTCCTTTAGAGTTGATAACTTTTATACATAACAGACAAGGCTATTTTTTCCCTTCAAAATAGATTTAAACAATTCAAAGCGTATGGAAATATTTTTAATTTTCTATTTAGCGGTAAAAACTAAGATCACTAGATGATGGAAATTTGAAAAAATATAGAATGTTCCTTAAAGCATAATAATCAATTCGATATTGATGGTTTAGATTTATTTTCTAAATTAAAAGGATCAAGAAAAATAGTACAATTAGAAGATGAAGTAGCAGTTTAATTGATACACTCAATCAAATATAAATATTTTGTTCTTTTCCAAATGTCTATATTGCTTATGAAATAATGTTAATACTCTTATTACCATTACTTCGGCGGAAAGAAGTTGTCAAAACTAAAATTGCTAAAATCTTACCTAACATCAACAATGTCTCAAGAAAGATTAAATGGATTAGCTATATTGTCAACTGAAAAATACTTATTAAGAGCTATTGATTATAAGAAAATTATTAATTACTTTGTATCTAAGAAAAGTTAAAAAAAAATAAACTTCAAATAAATAAATAAATTTTAAAAAGTTAAGGCGCCTCATAAAATTTGGCTTTAGGCCACAAAATTCGTCAGGCCGCCCCTGAGTAAACTTATATTTAGAAAGCAAAATTACCTCCCTTCATATACAATGGAACTGAGACTTTCCCCTCTTATACTTATTTTTCCATCAACATACCAAATTGACTAATGCAATTTGAATAGATTCAGTTAAATTTATTTCTACAATCAAAACTAATCTAAGTTTATACAACATAAAAATAACTCAGCATCTAAACTACAAGGGATGCAGTTTCCTTACAACACAATGATCTCTTTGTTTCTGTAACTTTCGTCAAAAGATAGGGAAAAATACTGATCTAGCTAGCAAGATTTCTAAAAGCTGGAAAATGAATGGGTGCTCACTCTATCATTATGAATAATTTACAGGATGTAATTCTACAAGTGCCATAGAGCACAGAGCTATTGACGAGCCCTGCCGAAGAAATGTTCTATTTGCAAGCATCCTTGAGACTGGACATTACTTGCTTTCGTGCCAAATTTGCATCTCTTTACTAAGGTTGTACTTTCCTTATTGTCCTGCTCAGGAAGTAAAGAACAAAAAATAAACTTCCACATTCAAACATTAACCCTTTCATTGACAGTTCCAAAATAGAAAATATATATATTAGGTGTTTAAGATGCTCTAAACAAGCATACATAACAAAAGGAACAATGCATGACCAAGAAGCAGAGGATCTAGTTATAAACGCAAATGCAGAAATTGCTTACCCGCAAAGAACTACTTGGGTACCATCACAAGAAAGTATTTTCCAACAAAAGTCGCAAAGATGGTTAGAAGTTAGACCGCATGCGTCCTAAGATACTACTACAATCTAGGTCTTTTATTTCCAGGCCTCTGTAGTTGAGCTCACAAAGGTTTAAGCAATCATAAGCTGTTGGATAATAACTAAATTGTCCTCCCATTCTCTTCTTATATTCTGGAACTCTTAACACTTTGGCTGAGGTGTGACACCCCAGCACCCAAGATGAGAATTTAGAAAAAAGCAGACTGCTCTTTAACTACTTAAATTACTTTAACTTCAACCACGACATATAAGTAATACCAATTGGCAAACTCAGATCATCTCTGTGAAAACTTGAACAGCCTAGTAACACTAAAATTTTGCATACCGTTAGACATTAATCTGAAAGCGTCCATGTCAGAGTAGCAGAAACAGCTTTAATGTTATAAAATTAAAGAGCAACATTGCTGTAAAGGAATGTGGAGATAAATCTTTACCATATAATAAGAAAGGTATTTGCTCATAAACCAAGAGGTAACAATACTGAACACTTCACAATTACAATATTTACTCAACATGTATACAGCATTGCATCACTGAGAATTTAGTTATGTAGACTGAATGGTATGCTTCTTGATAAATGTGTCATAGATATCTGGAAACAGCATGGTTTAAACCAAATATGAAGGTTTCTACCAGAAAAGAGCTTATTAATAGACAAATAATTAGTACTAATAAAAGTCTACCTTTCTTCTCAAATTCCGAGAAGTATGATTTACCAATTGAGAAATGAAATCTAGATAAACCAAATTATTAGGAAGTTGATACAAAGGCAGACAGCATTCACGCAGGGTCCAAGGAAGGGCCGCATCCAAGAGGTGTGATGTAGGCAACCCGCCCTAATACTGTATTACTCATATTAATCAATACTTCAACAAGGAACTAAGAAGAGTGGCTTGCTTGTTGGGGGAGGTAACAAAACGAAGTAGAGAGGAGGCAATGTATGTTGTAAAAATATTGTATGGAGAATAAGAATTAGCTTGAAGCGTGTCAAGGACACTGTCCTTAAGGATATTTCGCCCACACAATGATAAATAAAATTAGGCGTATCCCCAGGATTCAACAAGATGTTCTAGTATAAACTAGGAGCAGAAACAACAAAGATTAATCAAAAGAAAACCCATCACAATAAAAGAATATGAGAAGAAAAGTTTTTACTTTTTCACACTTTTCTAAAATGAACACAAGACTATATATATAGCCCAAAATAGAATGCATCAGATTATTAAGAAACAAATGTTATCATAGTAAATGAACAAGTTTTTAAATGTCATGAAAATATCAATAACATTAAGACTAGTAAATTGTCATTTACTTTTGTCACAATAACGTTCAAGATTAAAGACCATTAAGACTTTTGAAATGAAAGAAACGTTAGCCATTATGACTATTAAGAAAGGTCAAAACCAACTTTTTCAAAACTAACTTTTGGTAACTGAAATATCAACGATATATAGCCATTCAAAATTAATAAAGACATTGAAGTCAAAATTATTTATATTTTATGTTACATATAATAAATATATTCAAATTGATTAGTATAATAAAGACCTATTAATATAATATTAAAAGAATGAACCTAGACATCAATTTAAATATTTCTTTTTGAGTTATCAAAATTATTTTTCTAACAATCCCCCCATTATATGAAATTAATGGCAAAAACTTCTAGAGCACTTGTGAAATTTCTAGGGATTGTTAGAAAAATAATTTTGATAACTCAAAAAGAAATATTCAAATTGATGTCTAGGTTCATTTTTTTAATATTATATTAATGGATCTTTATTATACTAATCAATTTGAATATATTTTATTGTATGTAACAAAAATTTGAATAGTTTTGACTTCAATGTCTTTATTAACTTTGAATGGCTATATACCATTGATATTTACCTTACCAAAAGTAGACCTTGACCTTTCTTAATAGCCTTAACGGCTAGCGTTTCTTTCATTTCAAAAGCCTTAATGGCCTTTAATTCGTGAACGTTATTGTGACAAAAGTAACTGACAATTTACTAGTCTTAATGCAATTGATATTTTCATGACATTTAAAAACGTTTTCATTTACTAATGATAATGTTTGTTTCTTAATAATCAGATGCATTCTATTTTGGACTATATATGTGTTCATTTTAGAAAAGTGTGAAAAGGTAGAAAAAGTAAACAATTTTCTTCTCATATTCTTTTATTCTGTTGGGTTTTCTTTTGATTAATCTTTGTTGTTTCTGCTCCTAGTTTATACTAGAAGAGCTTGTTAAATCTTGGGGGATACGCCTAATTTTATTTATCACTGTGTGAGCAAAACATCCTTAAGGACAGTGTCCTTGACACGCCTCAAGCTAATTCTTATTCTCCGTACAATATTTTTACAACAACGTAGAGCATGATTTCATATAAAAGGAGCATTGATAAATGCACCTAATTAGGATCTCAAAAATAAGAAATAGAGAACAAAAATTCAATAAAATAACGAAAATTTCTTTTTTTCCCAAAATGCAACCCAAGGTAAGAAAAGATGATATAGCAGATCCTCCTAGAGGAATAGTAAGTGTTGAAGATGAGAGAGAATGCTACTCAAGGTTATGACGCTGACATCTCATGCTGAATTATGGGAAAGATCCACAGTGGACTCTGCAGACAGCTTACTAAGTAAAGCTACTTAATTTGAATACAACGACAGAAAGTAGGAGAAACAACTGCACATTAACATTTGTAAGTCAAAGGATGAGTAAAACCCACCAATGAGGCCTGATTTATTGATCGCAGAACTTTAATCCTGCCACCTCTGCCATCAGCTCCCACAGAAATCAAATCACCAGAATTTGCATTTGATTTTTGCAACCCTGCAGATCTCTTGTTCTGCACCTTCTTACACCATTTTCCCAAATGCCAATTGGTTCCATCAGGACCTAATAATCCACCGGAGAAGCAGTTGTCTCCTGAAAATTTTATACTTACAATGTCAAAGAACCTAATAGTGAGGATTCATATAGCTGACCCCAGCTAAATTGTGATTGAGACATAGTTATTATAAAGTCAGAATCTGAGTCATGAGGTAATTTTCTTTTCGATTAAAGAATAAGAGTGATTTTCATGACCTACCTAGAGAAAAGTAGGAGCAGAGGGTCAATAAAACTAGGGGCAATTCATATCTAAAATTGAATTAAAATTCAGGGATAAATCAAGTTATAAAGGCTTTGCTAAGAAGTGAACAAGATAATTTGTTAACGGATAATCAATGCAACTCCTAGCCATATAAACAACTGAAGATTTTTCCAGCTCGTCAATATCAGAGAGAGAGAGAGAGACCTGGTTCGGCAAGTAAAGCTGGCGATGAAGTCTCTTTTCTGATGTGAAATGAGGGCTGACGCTTCATAGAGTCATCTAGAGGGAGAAAATCATCGTCATCAAGAATAGTTACAGGTGACATGTTTACTGTGCTCCTCTTGCCACAACTCCTTGAGCCTGAGAGTTCATCCTTGCTATCTGATACCTGCACTTGAGTTCCACCGCCAGTCTTTGAAGTTGCCTCCAACCTTGACAAAACACTATCATTGACTGCCTTCTTATGGTCAATTGGTAGACTCAGTTTTTGATTTGATACGTCATGCACATAACTGGAAGTCTCCGAAATGCCTGTATCCTTATTTTTCTGGAAAGAGTTTTTCTCCTGATTATCTTGATCAAGACTACTAGCTATTATATAATCTGCTGTACCTTTTTCACTTGCATCATTAGACATAAGCTTTCTTTTTTTCTGTGGACTAGAATCATGACCAGAGCCAGTGAACTGATGCAAATCTACTTCTGCCTCAACAAGCGTCTTTTTCTGATTTTCATGAGGGCACCTGTCAGCTTTCAGTTCTTTACTATAACCTTTTCCAGAATCAACATCAAATTTCTTGGAAACTCTCAAAGTTCTCAAAATTCTATTGTCCCTTCCTTCAACAGCCATCTCAAGCTCTTGGACTGTTGCCTATTAATAGTAGCACACTGAAGCATCTTTGAAGCTCAAAATGAGATTAACATAATTGGATCGAGGACATCAAGCACTTACCTTGAGCTTATCTATCTTCTCTAGAGCCTTCCCAAGTTTACTAAGAGAACGAGCCTCTCCCCTCCCAAGAGTGTTGCATTTGGTCATCAATTCTTTGTAACTCCTGCCAGAGCACACAATTATAGCATCAAACATATAATTTGAAGACAAAGACTGCTAATGTGCCAGATAGAAACAGGTCACTTTAATTTACCATAAATACAGCTCAAAGGACTGGAAAATAACTTTACCGTGTAAAAGTTAGCTTTTTACGAAAAAGATTACTCTTTTTCTAAATCTTAACCACAATACTTTTTCTTGATAGATCAAAATTTCGGCCATATTACTTTACAGGCATTGTCCTAATAGCAGTCCAAAGACAAGTGAGCAACATACAACATACTCCATCCAAATTTATCTTCTTAATAGGCGGCCTTATCTTGAAGAAAATAACAAAATTCTATAATACTAGTCTGCATCTCTATGTAACAAAAGGTTGACAACTGCAATTACCTACAGAGCAGACGGAAGCCATTATTTATTCAGAAATAGCACTAATTTCAGAGATTTATAGCATGACATATTGTGTAAACTTTAATTTTGCACTTTGTGATAAGCTTTATTCCAACTTCCTTTCAGACTACCAATCCTTGGGCTATTAAGATTCCTATGATAAACAAGGCTTTTAGTAGAGATTCTAGGTTCATGAAACTTATTTTTTAACACATTGACCTTTTTCATATGCTACACATCGCATATCCCTAGTATCCTGTCAATTATGACTTGCCTGAGCTCAAGAGAAAACTCAAAATATGGCACTCAGTATATTTCAGTTTTTCCCATGGTAATCAATTACCAACGAAGATATCTACAGATCTGCTGATAACACAAAAATTTCTAGAGCAAAGTGTTGCATTACTAGATAGCAGAAATAATTTGTATAGCCTGATGTTGGGATTAAATTAATTTCATAAATAAAAGCAACTCTAAGTATAAAACTTTTACTTGTTACGCATGACCAGTGACTTCTTCAAGACGTCAATCGTCTCTTTACTGTTGGCCTCATTGCCCAATGAAGCAAGCTTCAAGACCTCTTCTTCGCCCAAGTTCACATCACAAACTCTAAAGACAAGAACCATAAATGAGAAGTCATAACAAATTGTAGTACAACAAAATAGGATAAATTATTGTTGCCCTTAATATAATCCACTTACAGCTTGAGTGCTGCGAGCTCCTTAGCTAGGGCCATATTTCTTTCTTGATGTCTTCTGCATTCCAAGGTTGATTGATCCAGCTCCTGCAACATAAATTTCCGCAAAGCATAAAGGCAATTAGTGCCATGCCAAATGTACTTGCAACAAATCAAGAGGCAAAACATCTACCTGAGATTTTAGATGAAGCAGCTGTTGAATTGATGTCTTCTGTTTTTTAGCTTCATTCTTTAGAGATACTTCTACTTTCAACTGCTCTTTGCAGGTGAACAACTGAAAATTTTAAGAAGCATGATTTGGAAGCAGACATTCTTAAGAACGCTCAACTGTACTAGATAAGCACCAGCAATCACCACAGGGCATTTCTCAAACTTGTTCTATTTCCTCGCAAGAAATATTTTGGTTTTGGGCAGAGTATGACCTTTTTAGAACATTAGCCTAATAATAATTGATAATGGAACAACTCCAAAAATGAAATATTACATTTCTAATCTTTTTTGAGTCAGAACAAGATACCTAAATCCATTCTCATTTCACGAATAAAAGTATAGTGAATAGCATAACCAGTATGCAACTCCAAACTTTGTATACTGCAAACTAAAAGCAACCAAAACAGAAAAAAGATAACCTATTTACCTCAAGATTAACTTCTTTGAGATCTTTCTGTTGCTGTTCCAGAGTAGAAGCCAGTTTTAAAACTTTCCCCTCCAACCTTTTAACCTCATCGCGCAATTCGCAAGGACTCCCCTCAAGGTCATGTGATGGTTGGGAGAAACTAGGATCATTTGGATCACCAACTGATTGGAAATAAAGCCTGTTTGTGTTTTTCTCCGTACAAGTCTGTTTGCAAACTGGACAGTTCTTCTTCTTTCCATTTGTACAATACTCAAACCATTGCTGAAGACTGGTTTTTACAACCATAACATGTCAGAGACAGAAACAACTGTATCAAAGACACAAGGAAAATCCCTATAGTTCTATCCAGATAGACAAGTAGAGGATTCAAAATCATGAGTCAATAAGTATAAAGTACCCTTGCACCCACTCCACCCTATGGCATTGGTGAGTAATATAACACACACACACACACCTGCTGGCAAAGTTCTGTATCCACCCTATAGAAGGACATTTTCATAGGACAGTAGACCTGACCATAATAACATTGAAGCAAATGAATTTATTCATGCAAATGAACTCCTGGAAGAATATTCATAACAAGTACAATTTTAGGTAAAGCCAGAAGCCGAACTAAGATTTCAGCTTTATGGGTTCTGAATTTTAACGATGATTTTAAGTGCTTTTAATTGGGTTCTAAATTTAATATTTGTACATACTTAATAAAAAAATTTAGTATAAATACATTGTTTGAGCAAAAATTATTGGGTTCAATCTGAGCAAAAGTTATTGGGTTAGTCGAACCCATTTCTAGGCTCCTAGCTCCACCCCTGGGTAAAGCAATGATAGTTAGCCAAGTACAATCCAAACGATGGATACCTAATACAAGATATTTTCAATTTCAAACTAAGTACAATTCAAACCAGGAATACACAATACAAGTTTTCATATATTTTCAAATTTAATCAAGGAAACCAATACAAGTCTTAAAAAAAATCAATCTTTAACCAAGTACAATAGAAACCAATGATACCCAGTAGGCCAATACAAGTGTTCAAATATTTTCAATTCTTAACCAATTAAAAACCTAACCAAGCTATGCTAAATACAAGTCTTGTGCAAAAAGTATCCGTTTAGGTAAATAAATGAGCTTTACCCAGAGTATATTCCAAACCAAGAATACTCATTCAAAGCTTTCAAACATTTTCAATTTTAAACTAATTACAGCCCAAAACAAGAATGCCCAAATACAAGTCTACAAATAATTTTTACTTTTATAAACAGCAGACTACAAACCAAGGATACCCAATACAAGACTTCAAATATTTTCAATTCTTAACTAACTAAAAATCCAAAACAAGGTTACCCAATTAAAATCTTGAAATCTTTTCACAAATACAAAGAGTGTATATAACGGACTAACCAAAGCTCGTGAAAGACATGGCCGCAAAGAGAAATGGATTGAAGGTCTTCGACTATAGGTTTGAGATCCTCATAGCAGATTGAGCAAATGGTCTTGGCAAATGTGTTGCCTCCCGCCATCGCTAGCAGCTCTTTACTCCTCTATTCGCTTTTCAGATGTTTGGAAAAATATTGAGTTTTGAAGAAAAGGAGTTGGAATGTGGTGAGCGGGAAGAAGAGGGAAAGTTGAATTGGGGCAATTTGGAGAGTTTTTAAGTCCGTTTCAGTAGCTTAGCTATTGGAGCCAGGTCTTACTTTTCCCTCTATGCCTAAGGAAATTGACAAAAAGGTCAATTAATAAGAGTATGACTTTTTTTGTTGGAAACTATAAAAAGAAAGATTTAATTTATAGGTACTGTCATTATACAAAATTCCTTACGCTATTATTTTAATCTGTAATAGCTGATTAATTGCTATTTTTGGATATAAATTAATATTTGTCAAGAGATTTATCTATAATTACTTAATAAATAATAATAATAATAATAATATGATTGTGTAGATATTTTTAAAAGTCTCAGCAAAATAGAATTTAAACTCTAAAAATATGTATATTACTACTTATTATTAATTTTTTTAAGGGAATCGTATTAGAAACAGATGAATCCAACTCTCAAATATAATTATAGGACCAAAACAAAATTTGAGACAGACAGAGTATTAGTTATCTTCGTTTTTCTTTGGGGATATTCAGGGTATTTTTTTTATTAATTTGTATTTATTATAATGTTATGAAACAATAAATTTTATGTAACAGAAAACAAAAATAGAAAAACGGAAGTAAAGCAGAATCTCGAAATAATCAAAACAAAATCTGAAAATAAATTTCGAAATGAAATCGAGCTCACTGAACGCACAGTGTATCTTTAAGGAAATTATTCCTCTCAAGTACCCGAGTTGTTGAAATATTATCCTCCCAGGATATAACGATTTAACTCACCAGAGTAACGGTACCTAAAACACTAGTGAATTGCAAACCACTTAATGATTGTAAATCACACTAAAATTTATTTGTGCAAGTGAAAAAGAAGTTCAGAAAATTCCATAAGGAAAAACTATGGGATCAAGGCGAATTTACAACCATTTTTTGGCATTGTTTCTGAAAATTTGCAACCTTTCAGAAATAGTCATAACTGTTGGAACAGGTGGGAATGTTTAAAATATTCCGGGAAAAGAATTTAAAATAATTCGGGAAAAAAAATTGACCGGGTCGCGTCGCGCGCGGGTCCGAGGTTATTCTTGGTTGACTTTTCAATAATTAATTAAATAATTAGAAAAAAATTGTCCAAAAAAATTAATCAATCTTTGATCAAATCCGAAGCTGATGCCGACGCTGAAGCCAAGCGAGCGACAACGACTGCGCGAGACTTACCTTCTTTCTAACTCATTTAACACCAAGAGAAGTGCTTTCTTAATATAAGTACGTTCTCTTTTCTTTCCACTACCAATGAGGGACAATTGCTTTTTCCAAAGCATAAGGGAACAACTCACTTTTCCTTCACATTTCTTCCCTCCATTTTTCATTCACCAACTTCCAATCCCAATAATCCCCCACATAAATGGAGAATGGCTATAAAATAAAGGAATGCACGGATGAGTGTATGATTTACAAGCAAGGATTAATTGCATTTGGATAAGTAGGTTTCTCTTTGAACTTTTCGTATTGAACTTATATCGGATATACTCGGTCAATCGATAGATTTGGTATCTTTGAACCATCAAGCTTTGTTGTATACCTAGACAACATAAGTCATACAATTAACCCTTAACCATATATGGTCTCACGGTTGTGTTCTTTCAGCCACGAACACTGCCTGATTTCATAAGTGCTTAGGGAATGGAATTTCCCTTGAAGCGGCTTACACTTCACATCCATATAGGTAATTTTTAAACGTGTAGTCCTCTAGACACACTATCTATTCATTTCCTGTCATACTTAGCAAATCATTACAAAACTTTAAGCTTTATTGACTCATCAAAAAACCTTAATGCTTTACCCTGATTCCTGAACATTGTCTTTATCACGAGAATGGCTTGAGTTATTTGACAATGTTAAGACGTCATTCATAACTTTGTTTGATCTACTTGAACGTAGCTATTGGGATCTCCAATCTACTACGTAGAGTTACCGCCATGATGACTTGTCCAAGGCCATAACCCCATTCCTTTCGATGATTTATCAATTGTCTCTCTAGATAGGCCTTTTGTAAGTAGAACTGACACGTTCTTGACTTCACGTAGTCAATCGTGATAACATTACTAGAGAGTATTTGTCTAACGGAATTGTGTCTCCGTCGTATGTGATGAGATTTTCCGCTATACATAACGCTCCATGCCCTGTCTATTACTGCTTGACTATCACAATGTATACATATAGGTGCCAAAGGCTTGGGGAAAAATGGAATATCTTCCAAGAAAAATCGGAGCCATTCAGCTTCTTCACTGGCTTTGCCTAAAGCTATGAATTCAGTTTCCATCGTAGAACGGACAATGCATGTTTGTTTGGATGATTTCCAAGATACTGATCCACCTCCAATTGTGAAAACATATCCACTCGTGGATTTAACTTCAGATGATGCGATGATCCACTTTGCATCACTATATCCTTCAACAACTTAGGGATACTTGTTATAATGCAGAGCATAGTCTTGAGTATATTTTAGATACCTCTTAAACTCGTTTCATTGCCATCCAATGTATTTGATTGGGATTACTTGTAAGATGACTCAGTTTGCTAATAGCACATGCTATATCTATCCGTGTACAATTCATGATATACATCAAACTTCCCAATACTCTTGCATAGTCCAGTTGTGAGTCACTTTTGCTTTTATTCTTTTGAAGTGCATAACTCATGTCAATTGGAGTCTTGGCAATCTTGAAATCCAAATACTTGAACTTGTCAAGTACTTTTTCAATGTAGTGGGACCGTGATAATGCTAGACCTTGTGGAGTCTTGTGAATTCTGATTCCTAAGATCACATCAGCAACTCCTAAGTCTTTCATGTTGAATCTACTAGCCAGCATGCGCTTAATAGCATTTGTATCTACCATATCTTTGCTTATTATCACCATGTCATCAATATATAAACAAACAATAACTTCGTGACCTAAAGTGTTCGTAAACACATTTGTCACACTCGTTGATTTTAAAACCATTTGCCAATATTGTTTGGTCAAATTTAGCATGCCATTGTAAGGGTGCTTATTTAAGTCCATAAAGCGACTTAACTAGTTTGCACACTTTTTTTCTTTACCAGGAATCACAAAATTCTCAGGTTGTTCCATGCAAATTTCTCCCTCCAACTCTCAATTAAAGAAAGTTGTTTTAACATCCATTTGATGGATTTCAAGACCATACACGGTCGCCAGTGCCACTAACACTCTAATAGATATTATCCTCGTTATTGGCGAGTAAGTGTCAAAGTAATCAAGGCTTTCTTTTTGTCAATAACCTTTGATATAAAGTCTTGCCTTATATTTGTCAATGGTGCCATCAGCTTTCATTTTCCTATTAAAGATCTATTTCAAACGTAAAGGCTTATTTCCTGGAGGAAGATGGTTACCCAAAATTGATTGAATCTCACTATTGACTGCCTCTTTCCAAAATGCTGAATCAGAAGATGACATAGCTTCTTTGAAAGTTTGAGGCTCATTTTCAAGCAAGAATGTCACAAAATCCGGTCCAAAAGGAAGTAGATGTTCTTTGACATTTGCTATGCCTTGGATCCTCTTCACTTGGAGTATTTTCCTTCGGTTCTTCTCGTATTCATTTAGATCTTCCACTTGACGACTCGCATTCAGTTCTATATGAGTAAATATTTAAAAAGAATTTAACATTATCTGATTCAATTACCGTATTAACATGAGTTTCGGGTTATCAGATTTATGAACCAAAAACTAACATGCTTTACTGTTTGTAGTATATCCAATAAAAACATAATCCACAGTTTTTGTTTCGATTTTTACCCTTATGGGTAAAGGTACTTGTACCTTTGCTAAACACTCTCACTCTTTGAAAATATTTCAAGTTGGATTTTCTTCCTTTCCATTTTTCATATGGAATAGATTGCATTTTGCTGTGGGGTACTCTATTGAGTATTCGGTTAGCTGTAAGGATAGCTTTCCCCCACAAACTCTACGGTAAGTCGGAACTTATTAATAAAGCATTCATCATTTCCTTTAATGTCCAATTTTATCTTTCTGTAATTTCATTGGATTAAGGTGTGTATGGGGTAGTAGTTTGATGGATAATTCCATATTTCGAACATATTTCTGCAAAAGGAGATTCGTATTCTCCACCCATATCACTTCTAATAATTTTAATCTTTTTATTCAGTGGATTTTTCACTTCATTCTTGTATTTCTTAGATGCTTCAATTGCTTCATACATACTATTAAGCAAATAAACATAACAATACCAAGTACAACTATCAATAAAAGTTATAAAATATTTTTTTTACCACGAGATGGTGTTGACTTCATATCACAAATGTCAGTATGAATTAAGTCTAAAGGATTTGAATTCCTTTCAACAAACTTATAAGGATGTTTGACAAACTTAGATTCAATATATATTTGACATTTTGCTTTATTACACTCGAATTTAGGCAATACTTCTAAATTAATTAACCTCCAAAAGATTTTGTAATTGACATGTCCTAAACGAACATGCCATAAATAAATTTGAATCTAATAAATATGAAGAGCTGAAATTGTATTAATACTGTCAATAACCATTACAATGAGTTTGAAAAGACCCTCTGTGAGGTAGCCCTTGTATAGGTCAAAATCTGACTAAGGATGTTCAGCACGGAGTGGTATTACTAGAAGTAATTTGGCCGAGGTCGACTAGTGACTAATTGAACTCATCGCCGAGCAGTCGATCATGACCGAGGTCAAGTGTCAGAAGGAGCAATAACGGCTACTTTAGTAACAGGATTTTTGAGGGAATATTCCATTGAATATTCCCTTTGTTTGTACTTTTAGAGTTAATCAAGGGTATGCCCCTTATAAATAGAAAGAGAGATCAGGTGATAGGCATGTAATATTCTCCGATAAGAATTCTCTTGAAAAGAAGACTCTCTAGATAAATACAAACATCACCTTTCTAAAGAGATTCGCTTTGTTGATTATTCCATACTTTCTCCATCAGATCCGAGAAAGTCTCCAATATTCCCATAGTTATTTGTCATTCATCATTGTGAGGAAAGAGAATCATCCACTTCATTCAATACACATTACATTAATTATGTTCTGAGACTGCT